AACATGGATGTCCAATATCAACCTATTATTTGGAGTATGGCCGCCATGTTGAGCAACTCCGTCGCCGTCGCCGTCGTGCGTACGCGCCCATGAGCAATACCGCTAGCCATGATAACCATGAGAAAATCAACTCGAGGGTTTCTTTTTCTTTCCTATATGAGTATGGGGCTCCGCTAATATATCAAACATGAGAGACAGTGTTTTATCAGGATATCCAAACATCAAGAGGACAATCTAAAATAAAACACGCAGTGGAGTATTTTTGACAAACTTTGAGGTGTTTGGATAGCCGATGAAACAGTCTAGAGTGTTTTATAAATCTTCTCAATCAAAACAAAAACTAAGGAGTAAATGGAGAACTAAAATTGCCAAATCTATGCTAATTAAGACCCGAGTATCCAAACCTCCTTTACTGTTGTGATTTTGTTTTAACTTGATGAATTATTAATGAGTTTGAGAAAAACGTTTAATGAAGCACGTCTTAAAAATAAATGCACCATAGCCCTTTAGCGTGATGCTGAAAACAATGCTTACAGGCATTCTCTTTCCTTCCTGCGCCGTGCTTCTCCCCTATGTTCTTGTGTGCCATTTTTCATGCTGCGCCCAAACTGACTGAATGCCCTGAAGAGGTTACTTTGTGCCGTTTCCTCCACCCTCTTGCAGACCCAACTGACTCAACATGAAGCCAATAATTCTTCTTTGAGGCTTTGTTTCCTTTTCTTCTTCTTTGACTTCGAAAACCCTCACTGGGTGGTTTTACTGACATCTGATTGGTAGCCGATGACTTCCTTTGCCTTGCCATGTTGACTTTGCATGCTTAAATTTTGCTTGTGGTGAAACACCCATGCCATAATTCTATTCAGACAGGTCCATGAGAAAAACCTTTCTATTTCCTCATTAAAGAGGTTGCTTTGATCATTTGCTTTGTTTGAAAATACTTTAGTGGACGACCCTCTTGACTTGACTATCAGATATCCCGCCAATATCATAGGGTTTTGCACCTGGGTCTCCTTAGGTTACTCGAGAAGGGGGTCCTTGTGACCAGCAATCATTCTTTAGCAGTGCGTCAACTGTCATCCCTCTGGATGCTTTGTCAGCAGGGCTCAGTGATGTTTCAACAAATCACTATTAGGTTCCTGCGGGTTGGTCCAATATCGCAGAAATACAATTGGTGACAAAGATTTGGAATCTCTTGTCCTTGTTCCCTATGCATTGAGTGCTGTCAGTCTGGAAGGCTGAGCTGTCAATGGGCATATTGACTTCTTGTCTGATTATTTCATCTAAACTTGTCGCAAAAAATACTGAGGATGATTCCATTTTTGGAATCACCATTGCTTTTGGGGAAGCGAATCTGGACTTTGCTATAATTAAAATAAGTGGGCTCTACCGATCACATCAATATGTCAGAGATACAAAACTGCTCCACAGCTTTGACTAGAAGCTTCTGAGGAACAGTAAATGCTGTCTTGTTGCATGTCTGAGAACTATGGTCAGGAGTGCTCACCGGAGCCGATATACAAAATATCCGCTCCGCAGGGCTTAGTGCGCTGGCTGGGATT